CACCAGGACAATAACATTTGTTTGATAACTAACTCTAATACCTACAAACTTACTTTACTCAAGGACTTAACACCAATATCCAACAGTACATCATACTAGCAGGATATTTGGATAGCATAATCCCTACATAAGTAGTCTGATGAAGTTCACTTAAAAAAAACTCTGCTGTATCAGCAACAAAAGCTACCTTGTAAGTTTCTTACCTGACTCTGGAGGAACTGAGCAGGAAGAACACTCTCCAAACATTCCAGTTTAACACTCAAAACACAGTCACTTCTTCACCCCTACCTTCATAAGGGTGCAGATTCCAACGCCAGGTTTTCTGTGCAACAGAATGACATTCTGCTACATGATAACATTACAATGCATTAAAGGCCTTGATTCTATATGATTGTTCTAGAAAAACATCTTAAACTCATATAGGAGGTAGCAGAGAAACAATTTTATTCTTCTCTGCAGCCTCTTATCTCCCCTGCCACCTCATCCTCAAACCTGTATGATCAACAACTTGTTAACATGTTTTCTTCTGACAATCTAACTCAAAGATAGTCTTTTGTATAAAAAAGGCGTACGTCCAATTTAGGTACAGAAATTCTATATTTTTGCCTGTACTATCAGTGGTTCTCTCCTGCCTCTCACCTCCAAATATAATTTAAAACCTTAAGTGGAAAATATCTGCCTTCAACATGCAAGATTCTGCTTTCATCAGCCCAATTATATTCAATGGCACACACAAACACTGTCTAGCCCCCTTCTTTGTTCAAGCTAACGGTGAAAACTTAAGTCCCTGTTAAAAACAAACCCACATCCAATGGAAAACATTTTGAAAAGCTGAAAGCACCTCACTTCAGTCCCCAAATACACTGCTATCACGCTCCCACTCCAATTTGATTATTAAGTTTGTATTTGTTTCCCTAATCCTTCACATAGATAAAAATGCATTAGCATCATGAATCACAGGACATTCCAGCACAGTGTTGTCTTAAACCCTGCACTGGTTGAACTGTTCAGGTGGTTGCTGGGGCCTGCCAAGTCAGCCACAGTGTTTATAGTTTCGTTCTCCAGATACAGGATTATTATGTTTCAGACTGACAAATACCATATCCTGAAGGTTGGAGTGCTGTGATACAAATGCATCCTGACAGGGTAGAATGGCTGAGCAGGGGTGGTCTTCAGCGTAGAGACAGTTTCAGCTTCTTCAA